TTAGAATTTTATAAGTCTCAGTGGAAACCCCCTCATTCGCCTGAACTCCAGCAAAAACAATCCTAAGCCAGTCAATCTCTCCTCATACGACGGTCTCACCATCCCCAGAATCAGCCTGGTAAATTGCTTTCAAAGTTTTGATGTAAAGTCCAGTTCTAAAACAAAAAACGAATTTACAACATTTTAAGTGTCTGAATGCTGTTGAATGGGATTAAACAGCTTTCCGCTTGAAATTCCAAATGAATTACAAATAATTTCTTTTTAGTAAGTAACTCTTTTCGTTGTGGGTAAATGTGCAGAACAAAACTGAACTGCAGAGTGCAACACACAGAAACCATTCCAGATGATGAAAAGGATACTTCAAACATTATGGAGAGGGTAAGATAATGGAACTGAAGGGTTCGCTGTTGGACACAACTTAAATAGACCATAAAGCTGCCAGCAAGGCTGACAGCTCTTAATGTTTTGCAAGTCCCTGCAGTAATCTTAATGCACAGTTCCTTTTGCTATCAGGATACCCTATTAATTCAACTGAAGTCCATAAAGACATATCTGGTAACCACAGACACAAAGATGGTGAATTTTAGCAAGAGTTCTCCTGTTCATCCACTGCAATTTCAACACGTTCTGGATACCCTGCATACTTTGGCACACATGACTGTCAAAATGAAGAAGATGTATAATCTGTCACAATAGCATTGAAAACAATTAGGCCGATATTAGCAAGGGTTCAAGCAAGATCAACAAGATGACATTGTCTTCAATTAGAAATGACTTAGCAAATGTATTTCAAGGGAGGTGTATGATTCAAGATTTTTAAATAAAAAAGACAGGCAAGTGCATGGATACATTCTTCCTCACCAGGATTCACCAGGATGTTGCTGGGGCTGGTGCTTCCAGTAATGGAGAGACTAGATAGGCTGAGGTCATTTGCCTTAGAGCAGAGAAAGGCTGAGGTGGGGCCTAAATGAGGTCTACAAAATGATGAGGGACATTGAAAAGGTAGAGAAGTAGATACTTTTCCCATTAGCAGAGAGAAGGGGAGGGGAGGTGGGGGAGGGGAGGGGTGGGGCATACATTTAACAGAAAGAATTCATTGAATGAAAGGGCGGCAGAGGTGGCACCATCGCAACATTTAACAAGTATTTTAGTGAACACTTGAAGCATTCAAGGTTATGGGCCAAGTACTGGAAAATGTAGATGTTTGATGACCTGTGGGGACAAGATGGGCCAAAGGGCATCTTTCTGTGTTGTAAAACTCTACGCACTTAAACATTTTCATCATTCTCAATTTTAGATTCTTACTTCTTAGATTAAGTTTAATTATTAAATTCTATCAAGTTTGTACTCACTCATTTTCATTCTTATAAACAAACGATAAGAAACATCAAATAAAAACCGAAAGAACTGCAGATGCTGTAAATCAGAAACAAAGTCAGAAATTGCTGGAAAAGCTCAGCAGGTCCGGCAGCATCTGTGGAGAGAAATCAGAGTTAACGTTTTGGCTGGAGCGACCCTTTCTCAGACCCTTCTCCATGGATGCTGCTTTTGCAGCAATTTCTGGCTTTGTTTCTGATAAGAAACAGTATGCATCAATTGAATTGAATGGCCTAGTTCTGGCTGCCCATGTTATTTACCTGACATTTCTACTCAGTGATATAAGAAGGAACTGAATGGCCTAGTTCTGGCTGTCCATGTTATTTACCTGACATTTCTACTCAGTGATATCAGAGGGAATTCAGTAGCTTACAGCACCCCTTGTTGATACGTGCCCCCCGAACACAAAAGGATATATATATTAACTACAATATTTTCCGTTATACTTTGTTTGGTTTTGCCTAACGTGTGAATAAGCATGAGAGAGAGCCAGCTAATCATAGACCCTGGGGTAAGATAAATCCTTTCACTCCCTTGCCCCTCCCTGTCTCTGTAAATCTCCTGCAGTCCTCCCGTGAATGAACTTTCAATCCTGGTGCAGTGTTGGATGGCCGGGTGTGGTCGTCAGTCAGAGATAACAAGGTGTAGAGCTGGATGAACACAGCAGGCCAAGCAGCATCAGAGGAGCAGGAAGGCTGACGTTTTGGGCCTAGATCCTTCTTCAGAAATGGGGGACGGGAAGGGGGTTCTGAAATAAATAGGGAGAGAGGGGGAGGCGGATAGAAGATGGATAGAGAAGAAGATAGGTGGAGAGGAGACAGACCGGTCAAAGAGGCGGGGATGGAGCCAGTAAAGGTGAGTGTAGGTGGGGAGGTAGGGAGGAGATAGGTCAGTCCAGGGAGGACGGACAGGTCAAGGGGCGGGATGAGGTTAGTAGGTAGGAGATGGAGGTGCGGCTTGAGGTGGGAGGAGGGATAGGTGGGAGGAAGAACAGGTTAGGTGTAGCGGGGACGAGCTGGGCTGGTTTTGGGATGCGGTAGGGGGAGGGGAGATTTTGAAGCTTGTGAAATCCACATTGATACCATTGGGCCGCAGGGTTCCCATGTGGAATATGAGTTGCTGTTCCTGCAACCTTCGGGTGGCATCGTTGTGGCACTGCAGGAGGCCCTGGATGGATATGTCGTCTGAGGAATGGGAGGGGGAGTTGAAATTGTTTGCAACTGGGAGGTGCAGTTGTTTAGTGCGAACCGAGCATAGGTTTCTGCAAAGCGGTCCCCAAGCCTCCGCTTGGTTTCCCCGATGTAGAAGAGGCCACAACGGGAACGGCGGATGCAGTATACAACATTGGCAGATGTGCAGGTGAACATCTGCTTGATGTGGAGAGTCTTCTTGGGGCCTGGGATGGGTGTGAGGGGGGAGGTGTAGGGGCAGGTGTAGCACTTCCTGCGATTGCAGGGAAAAGTGCCTGGTCTGGTGGGGCTGGAGGGGAGTGTGGAGCGGACAAGGGAGTCACGGAGAAAGTGGTCCCTCCGGAAGGCAGATAAGGGTGGGGAGGGAAAGATGTCTTTGGTGGTGGGGTCGGATTGCAGATGGCGGAAGTGTCGGAGGATGATGCGTTGGATCCGGATGTTGGTGGGGTGGTACGTGAGGATGAGGGGGATTCTGTTTTGGTTGTTATTGCAGGGAGGGGGTGTGAGGGATGAGTTGCGGGAAATGTGGGAGACACGGTCAAGGGCGTTCTCGACCACTGAGGGTGGGAAGTTGCGGTCCTTGAAAAACGAGGACATCTGAGATGTACGGGAGTGGAATGCCTCATCCTGGGAGCAGATACGGTGGAGGCGAAGGAATTGGGAATAGGGGATGGCATTTTTGCAGGAAGGTGGGTGGGAGGAGGTGTATTCTAGGTAGCTGTGGGAGTCGGTGGGCTTGAAATGGATATCGGTTTCTAGGTGTTGCCAGAGATGGAGACAGAGAGGTCCAGGAAGGAGAGAGAGGTATTAGAGATGGTCCAGGTGAACTTAAGGTTGGGGTGAAAGGTGTTGGTGAAGTGGATGAACTGTTTGAGCTCCTCGTGGGAGCATGAGGCGGCGCCGATACAGTCATCAATGTAACGGAGGAAGAGGTGGGGTTTAGGGCCAGTGTAGGTACGGAAGAGGGATTGTTCCATGTAACCTACAAAGAGGCAGGCATAGCTTGGGCCCATGCGGGTAACCATGGCCACCCCCTTTGTCTGTAGGAAGTGGGAGGAATTGAAAGAGAAGTTGTTGAGGGTGAGGACGAGTTCGGCTAAGCAGATGAGGGTGTCAGTGGAGGGGGACTGGTGGGGCCTGTGGGACAGGAAGAAGCGGAGGGCCTTTAGGCCATCTGCATGGGGAATGCAGGTGTATAGGGACTGGATGTCCATGGTAAAGATGAGGTGTTGGGGACCGGGGAATTGGAAGTTCTGGAGGAGGTGGAGGGCATGAGTGGTGTCACAGACGTAGGTAGGCAGTTCCTGGACCAAGGGGGAGAAAGTGGAGTCCAGATAGGTGGAGATAAGTTTGGTGGGGCAGGAGCAGGCGGAGACAATGGGTTGACCAGGGCAGTCAGGTTTGTGGATTTTGGGAAGGAGATAGAAGCGGGCGGTGCGGGGTTGGAGAATGATGAGGTTGAAGGCTGTGGGTGGGAGGTCACCTGAAGTGATAAGGTTGTGGATGGTTTGGGAGATGATGGTTTGGTTGTCAGGGGGTGGGGTCATGATCAAGGGGTCGGTAGGAGGAGGTGTCGGAGAGTTGGTGTCTGGCTTCGGCGATGTAGATGTCAGTGCGCCAAACTACAACTGCACGTCCCTTGTCCGCAGGTTTTATGGTGAGGTTGGGATTGGAGCGGAGGGCTGCACGTTCTGCGGGGGAGAGGTTGGAGTGGTTGAGAGGGGTGGAGATGTTGAGGCGATTGATGTCAGGAAGGCAGTTGGAGATGAAGAGGTCGAGGGAGGGTAGGAGGCCTTGGAGTGGTATCCAGGAGGAGGGGGTGTGTTGGAGGCGGGAGAAGGGGTCAGTAGAGGGAGGGTTAGGCTCACGGTTGAAGAAGTAAGTGCGGAGGCAGAGGAAAAACTGCTCAGTCAGGGCAGAGGGGTGCACTCCGCTTCCATGCAGAAGTGGGGGGCTGTGGGACCCCCCACCCCACTCGGATCTTGGCTGAAAACGCCAAATGCTGGAAGATCACAGCGGATCAGACAGCATCCACGGACAGACAGCAAGCTAACGTTTCCTGTCTAAAGATGACCGATTTATTTGACGGCTCATCCTCTCGCAAGCCCAGGCGGTGCTGTCACTGGGGGCTCTCTGTCTGTCTGTCTCTCTCTCACAAGCTGCAGCGAATGCCTTTGCTACGTGAGGCTATTACTGATATGCGGTGTGTCTTGTTGCTCTTTTGAATGCAGGCCGGGTTAGCTGACTCTGTGTGTGTGTCTAAGACAGAGGGAGAAAGAAAAATCGTTTTCTCTCCGCCTCTCGCTGTCCTTTTTTTCTGTGTGTGTGTTTGGTTGTGGCAGCGGCGCTCGTTGCCAATCAGTTTGGAGCCGGGGTCCCACCCTCGGCACGTCGCTGGCCGCTCACAAGGCTCTAGGGGAGGGGACAGTAGGGATGGAGGTGGGACTGTGATCCGGGACAGGCAGACAGGCTCTCTCTCTCACACCTTTGGCCGCTGCTGGGGGAAAAGGCTGTATTCACACCTGAGAGAGAGACAGGACAGATAGAGGGAAGGGTAACCTAGCGGGGCTCAGTGAGCTGACACCTTCGCTGCCCCGCAGGGAGAGGACAGAGGTTGGGGCGGGTGGGGAAAAGAGAGAGAGGGGCTCAGCAACTCAAACTCCCCCACTCCCTCAGCAAATGGCTCGACCCGCCGCCGCGACCCCAGCGATGCTGCCGGCGAGCGGCTTCGGTCTGGGCTTCCCACCGCAGAATTTCGCCCGGGTGGTGGTGTGGGAATGGTTGAACGAGCACGGCCGCTGGAGACCGTACAGCGCTGGAGTGTGTCACCACATCGAGAACATCGTCAAGTGCAATGCCAGAGGGAGCGTGGTGCTCGGCCAGGCGGAGGCTCAGCTCTCCCCTTATATCATCGACCTGCAGTCTATGCATCAGTTCCGGCAGGACACGGGTAAGTGGCACTTTCCCCACAACCTGGAGATTCCTGGCCAGCCCAAATCCTAATACCCGCCCCAACCCCACTATAATAAAGAATATGTGAAGATAAATATAAAGGAAAAATAGGAAGAACCACACCTACTTCCTGTAACAACCCCCCCCCCCCGCCAGTGACTGTTCTAATCAATGTGAGACCCCCACACAGACAAAGAAAAACATGGAATTGTTTTCAGAGGGAAATGGTTTTCATTCAGCGTTTTGCCAGGGCACGGTGGAGATGACCCAGGAGCAGGGGGTTTGCAATGATCTCAATGTGGCTTCTTCTTCTTCACAACCCCCCTCCCCTCCCAAGCTGCTCCCATGTGGACCGTGTCTCTCCCTGCACACCCCCCACTCCCACCTCCCAATCTTCCCGGAGCCTTCCCATATTCCTGACATTCTCCATCTGGATCGGGATGACTGATGTCACCGGTACGGCAGAAATAAAAATAATAATTAACATCCGCTCCCCCCCCCCCCACCCCGCGCCAAATGCTGTGCCGTTTGCTCTCTTGGCCCCCTCTAGCCCAGCGCTGATGTTGGAGCTTTCTGCAGCGCCCGGCCCCCATTCCCATTCCCATTCCCATTTGTTTGTCCCAAAGGTGCAGACCCCAACCTGACAGCGGCTGAATGGTATTTCTCTTTCTCTCTCTTTTTGTACTGAGATGAGGTTTGGCCATTGAGCGCTCTCTGAGGAATTTCCCGCCTGTAAAACGGAGGGGGTTTTGAGGAGGAGGGAGTTGTGTTGGGAGCGGCTGGGATTTCCCCCTCCCCCTCCCGATTCTGGGGGGAGATGGAGGGTAAATGAATCGAGAGAGTGCAGCCGGGGCCACTGGCTGGGTGTCGGAGCGGTCCGGCGCAGAGGCACTGCATTATTCAGCCAAGGCTGCGGAACACGAATCCCTTCCAACCGCCAGATAGTGCGAGATATCTGGGCACTGTGAGGGGGTTCGGTGCAGTTAGAAAGCCAGGAATTGAAGTCCTTCAGAACGAATCCTTCCAATCTCTTCTCGCCGTGCTAGCTGTGACAAGCCACTTTCTAGAGTAGCTTTCTATTTGAAGCAGGTAGGCAGACGGTATTAAATGACATGCACACCTTGGGTTCTGCTCTGAGATTATTAAAAACCTGAAATCTTGCACTTCCTCCATCAGTATGGTTTGGTCAACAGTATACTTCCCAGGGTAAGGTGCAGTGTTCGAAAATAAAAATCCAAATTTTATGCCAGCACTTCTAGAATATTTTTTGACAGCCTTTAGTAGTAGCTGTTACCACACAGGAATGGAAACCACACGTTGCACCCTGACACCTCAGTAAATAGCAGTTTGCTTGTCACACAGACTGCACTGGATATGATTCCCCTGATCCTTACATGCAAAATCACATTGCTAACAAAATACTCAAATATACCTTTGAAGTAGAATGTGATTATCCGATCCTCTCCACTGGCAGCACTCCTGTGAGAGAGATCGTTTTGGTTTTACTTGCGTTTTCATTCAGAATGCTATCAAAACATAAATCAAAGTGCACTCATCAGTCCCTGAAAGGCACCTAGACTTCAGGTATTCTATTGCAGTCTTTCTGTTGAACTTAATGGTAGATTGTAGTGTGGAGTCACACTAGGAAAGAAGCTGACTTCTCCAATAATAAGTGGTCTGATGGTGCCCCATCTATAAGCAGGATGGTTTTGTGTCAGGCTCAAGAAGGCAGGAGAGCTCTCTTTAGGTTTTGAAATTCATTGTCAGACAACAAGAGATCTAATTGTAACAACGTGACATCCCAGTTTCCATCCAGGCATTGAATTTGGGGACAGAACGATAACAAGCTCAGCTTGTGGATTTCATCACTTCTCAGAAAGAGCTGAGTGGAAGGGTGGAATCATTTGTGACATACACATTCATGACTGTATTTTTTAGGATGCTATTTAACCAAAAGGAAAAATATTGTGGAAATTGCTTGCATTCAGGCTGCACGGTTTTCACACACTGACCTTTCTTAATTTCACACTTCATGAGTCAGAGCAACCGAATTTTTCAGATCAGAAATGCAGAATTCTGATTCCAAGGGTCATCTTCAGGACTTCGCTTGTAGAGATAAATCTGGATTTGAACAATGGGAATGACTGTGATCAGATATACTCTTGATATTCCAGGAAAATGATTAGCGCAGCTTAATTTTTACTTTTGGCCTGACGTTTACACTAAATTATGAAATTTACTGTGTTTGTGATCCAAGAATTTTAAACTGTTTTAATCCATAACCTGATATATGACAATGATGTAAGAATTGGTGTAATTGAAATATGGCCCATTGGTAACTGCTTTGTTACTTCTCCTTTACAATGTTTATTCAGTTTTCAAGTGAATTTATAGATGCTGTTGTCATAATGACATAGACGCTGAAACTGAACGTATGAGTTGGCCTGGTTATTTGATTCTAACCACAGATAGTGGTGTCTACAGTTTTGCTCACTTTACCTTCAGTAAGACATGCTTGCATTGGAAACAGTTCAAAGGGTTCACCTGGCTAATTCCTAAGGTGTGGGGTTTGTCTTGGGAGGAAAGGAGGGGTAACCTTAGGAGGTTGAGGGATGACCTTATTGAGGTTTATAAAATCATGAGGGGTATAGATAAGTTAAATGGCAGGTGTCTTTTCTCCAGCGTGGGAGATTTCAAGACTAGGGGGTATATATTTAAGATGAGAGGAGAAAGATGTAAAAAAGACATGAGGGGCATTTTTGTTTTACACAGTGATTAGTGTGTGGAATGAACTTCTGGGGAAGTGATAGATGTGGGTACAGTTACAACATTAAAAAGACATTTAGGTAAGTACATCTATAAGAAATGTTTGGAGGGATGTGGGGCATGCGCAGGCAGGTGGGACTAGTTTAGTTTGGGATTATGATTGGCATGGACCGGTTAGACTGAAGGGTCTGTTTCTGTGCTGTATGACTCTTTGAAAGGCTGGGCCTAGACTGATTAGAGTTTCGAAGAATTGAAAGAGATGTTATTTATGTGTATAAGATTTGGAAGGGGCTTGACAGTGTAGACCCTGAGAGGATGTTTCCTCTTTTGGAATCTAAGAAAAGGGGGTACAGTTTCAAAATAATGTGTGTCTCATCTAAGATAGAGATGAGTACCGTTTTTTTCCTCTCATAGAGCCGCTAGATTTTGGATATTCTATTCCGCAATGCTTAATAGCGGCAGGGACATTCGATGTATTCAAGGTTGAGTTTGACAGATTTTTGCATAGCCAGGGAATTGAGGGTTATGGCGGGGGCGGGGGCGGGGGCGGGGACAGGAAAAGTAAGCAGAGTTAAGGCCATAATTAGATCAGCCATCGTCTTATTCAATGGTAGGATATGCTTGATGGAGTGAATGGCCAATTCCTCCTTTTCTTTTAAAATCCTACATAATGATTTCACTTTCGTCTGTAGTCGACATGTGAAAAGTGATGACCACTGCACTGTTCCATTAAAAAAGCTGATTTTACAAGTCTTTACAGTTTAAACAGGAAGTTTTACAGAGCTGTCCAAACTTGTTTGAAAGGCAATTCTGTCAATGGCAGTAATTATTAAAATAACTGAACACAGTAGTTAACAGGTACATTTAAAAAATCTTGTTCAAATCCCTGAATCTACACTATAAATTTTGTTGACAGATTTCTGTTGGTCACAAGGTTTGTATGAACTGTTACTAAGCAATAGTATGGAACAAACAATGCAGGGAGTATGGCTAGGTCTTGACCCATGGCATCACAGTTGGAACACTTTCAAAAGGGCTGAGGCAGTGATGTTCGCTGAATGCTGGAACTGAAGATTAAATGTTTTGGCCGTTCTATGTCAGAGGTTAGAATACTTATCATGTTGATTGGAAATTTAGCTTTCAAAAAGCATTACTCATTTGTGTGGGAATTTTCAGAGCAGTTTTAGATCCTGGAGTAGCTCAGAGTAAACAGTTGTGAAACATCGCTGTTGCTGCAGTGAGTTTGCACTGTAGCAGAACCAAAGGGGAGTACAGAAGTTAGACGTTGATGTGTCCATTTGTCGTGCACAAAATAGGCAAACAGAGTCCAAAATCCGAGAAAGCATAGGAATTGAAAGCAAAGTTGATGCAAATTTGTATTTCTGATGAAAGGTCCTCCTGCTGTATGTGTCCTCTGTTCCTCCCTCTTACTACCTGACTTATGGAGTATTTCTAGCGTTTTCTGTTTCTATTTCAGATTTACGGCATCTCTAGTGCTTTGCTTGTGTTTCCAAAATCAGGTCATAATCTCCTTGGAAGTGTACCTTGGGCAAAATTGAATTTTGAGGCTTTTAGTTGCCCCATGTGCACGTCTGAAATAGATGGCAGGCTGATGTGGTTGTTCAAACCAGAGGACTACACAAATTGTAAGATCCTAAGGTGAAATTGAGCAGTAGTGAGTGGTTCAATGGCTGCTGAAGGAAGGGCCTAAAACTTTGAACATGTTGCAATTTTGTACAGTAATTGGGAGCAAGAATGTTTCTCTGGCTCCACAATAGCTGCTGCTGGTTCATACTCCTTAGGGTGGGGTTGGTGTACTGTGATTATTATGTCTCTCCAGAAGTTTTACTTTACTTCCAAGACCTAATTAGCACAAGATCTAATTAGATTGACAATTGAGTTGAAGTGATTATTATTTAATTCGATACTATACGTAATCTTTAAGGTACAGTATATTTTTAATCTAATTGTCAATGGGAAGATGGCTTCTTGACTGTTCCATGTCTGAATTATTTCTGAACACATTAAAATGGAAACACACCTTATTAGCCGCAGTGACTCCTAACATGAGTTTAAACAATGTAGGCCGTGTCATTGTAGAGGAAGCAATTGGGATAATTTTCTTGCTGTTTAATTTTTCAAGCAATGTATGGTCTTGGATGTAATTGTGGATTATCGTAGGAGAAAACAATGTGGCAAGGGCAAACGTTGGTGGGGGGTGGGGGGTGGGGG